ATTTTAATTTTTTTTTTTTTTAGAATTCAATACTTTATATGAAAAATTTCACGAAATTTCATTAGTTCTAATAGAAAATGACAACTAAAATTATCTAAAAAATATGACAAACAATAAAAGCCTTAATCTACCAAATATTTTTGAATAATTTAACTTTTAAAAATAATTAAAAAATATATTATTGTTTCCATCTAATGAATAGAGACAATAAAATAAATTAAAAAAAAATTAAACGGGCAATAAACGGTATAAGGACCTCGCCCAACCTTGAACGGGGCGGGAATTTGAGCAAGGCAGGGAGGTTAGGCCGCCCCGCTGCAATACCCCGCCCCTTGGTAAAAAAAAGTAAATTGCAGGTGCGTATAAATCTCGCCTGCTTTGCCCTGCTCATGGCACAGAACTACTTCTACCATCTATCCATTTTGTGGTTATATTTTAGCGAGTTCATAGGTATGGAAATGGAATCTTAGATCAAACCATTTTGAAACTATAAAAATTAGGGATTCGACCTAGCCAACCAAGTGTGAATGAGACAATAGTCAATAAACACAAAGTTCATGAGAAAAAGGAGAGAAAAAAGGAAACCAAGGAAATGGTCAAGAATAGACCAGTTATTTGACAAGCCAGAATCGACCAGTTATTTGACAAGCTCCAATTACTCAATAGTCAATACAAAACATATACAACTGTAAAGCTTCCAAAAAGGCACAAAGATGCCAACTTTTTGCCATCATTAAGACTCTCTACTCTTTAGCACGAGTTGTAATAATTCCAGCCAAATTTCAAGTGGCTGTCAAAACGGGGTCTGGTGTAACACAAACCTTCATTTAACACATTTGATATTCAAGGTTTGGAGCCATGAGTCTACAAGCATGTGAAAGTGAGGAGCATGTAACCTATTCTTCAAGAGCGTAGAGAACATGAAATTTGCTGTATGTCGTAAATTATAACCTAAACAATGCTAATTCCAATCACTTGATGAGCTCGAGAAAGTGAATCAAAAAAGTACGATAACAAATAAAGATTAGCAAGAATTTAAGAATTGAGCAAATTTGTGAAGAATTTTACATGAAGCATGTATACGGTGAACAAACGCACCACATCAAAGCAAATATTGATCGATTATTTCCCCAGAGATAAGAACCATGAATTGTAAACAAAAAACAGTTGGCACAAAGATTGACAGTAGTTTTCTTAGAAAAAAATAATGATAGAAATAGAAAAGTTCTAAAATTTTGAATCGCCAAAAGAAGTAAATTATAGAGATGAATACTGGCTACAAGCAGCGTTTTCAATTCGAAAAAACAGACTACTGCAAACCTTAACAAAACACTCAAATCGTAATAATAAAATTTTACTATTCATCTTGTTTTGGTGCTTCCTTGATCTCCTCGGAACCATCATCCTACAAACCAGAACAATAATAATTATCAACCAGTAATTCCTTTAAACAACAGCAGTGGCTGGGGAAAGCTCTCCACAAAATACAAACAAAAAAATTTACCTGCATGTCTGAAGTCCACAAAGTTAGGTTGTCACGGAGAAGCTGCATGATCAGAGTGCTATCCTTGTACGACTCTTCTCCAAGGGTGTCCAACTCCGCAATTGCCTCATCAAAAGCCTGGCCAGAATATGATGAGCAAACGTTAATACATACTTATAACATTCCTATCAATTGAAAAGGCCCATCTGAATTACAAGGCTCAAGCCAGCCAGATGTTAAATTCTTCAAATCTTGTTGATGTCAACCACAAAAGATTCAGAACTAGGTACTCTGTACTTTTTTTCGGAGGTAAAAAACAGCTAAGAGATTGGAGATGACATGTTTAATTTTCTAGCAGACCTGTTTAGCAAGATTACAAGCCCGATCAGGAGAATTTAGTATCTCATAGTAGAACACTGAGAAGTTGAGAGCAAGCCCAAGCCGAATCGGATGTGTTGAGGCAAGCTCTGTATTTGCAATGTCCTACAAATACAAAGACCAAAATTGCACTCAGTAACAAAACATACAAATCAACACGTGAAGTTTTATGATCTGAAATGATAAACATCAAGTTAATTGGTTCAGTACCAAAAATGACCTGCTTTAAGAACATTAAATATAACCTTACTGTAGTCATAAGGAATAAAAATTAGCAGATCCGACACATGACTTAGACTGGAATAAAATCAAGTAAAATTTCCTTTCTCCGCTGCATTTGCAGGAAAGTGTCGTTCACATTTGCGCCAAAGCAAACTAATGAGTATAAAATATACTCCATTTTACAAAATGAGCAATCAAACCCAAAATCTTATCCCCATCGATTTGTACGAGAACATATTTCCTGCAATCCATCTAATCGATCGCCTTCAGATCGCACAATATTAATCAAATAAAACAAAATTAATTTAATTCCGCAACTTTATCTAAAAGTATGGCCATAATTTTCCATAAACCAAAAGAGAGAAAGAGAGAGATAGCGTGCACAATTCCTCTTTAACGAGTCAAACGATAGAAAATATTAGCTATTTATCTCCAAAGCATCAAACAAAAGGCACGCACAATAAAATGTAAATTCCAATGCTCCATAAAGAAATTTTTTCCCCACGATTACCCTAGATCACAAAAAAAAAAAAAAAACTAGAAATAATATAATGCATTGCCAACGAAAAAAGCCAAAACCAAAACCCAAACCTGAGCCGACTTGTAAGCCGAGAGAGTGTTCTCGGCGGCTTCTTTCCGCTCGGATCCAGTCTTAAACTCCGCCAAGTAGCGATGATAATCTCCTTTCATCTTCAAGTAAAACACCTTAGAATCTCCGCTTGATGCGGATCCTATGAGCTTTGTGTCGAGAAGTTTCAAAATCCCTTCGCAGATAGACGAGAGCTCGGATTCGATCTTAGATCTATACCCCTTTATCGCGGACACGTGACTCTCGTTACCGCGGCTCTCCTCCTTCTGCTCAATTGAGGAGATGATACGCCATGATGCGCGGCGAGCGCCGATCACGTTCTTGTAGGCCACTGACAGGAGGTTGCGCTCCTCCACAGTCAGCTCCTCGCCGCCGTCTGCGGCCGCCACCACCTTCTCCATGAATTCCACCATCTCCTCATATCGCTCGGCCTGCTCTGCCAGCTTCGCCATGTACACGCTCTCCTCGCGAGGGGACGCCATTGTGGGAGGGATTTTTAGAGAGAGAAAAAATAACCTTTTTAGAGAGGGTGAGAGAGTAGAAAATACGAAAGAGCGGTTTTGGATTTGCAGTGGATTCTATTGGCAGTAGTGATGGTTTGTATTTTTTTATTATTATTAATTTTTAGCACAAGGAAAGTGACGGGTTGGTCTGGGCCGTCTAGATAAGATCTAAGCGTTCATGACTCATATGGTTGAATATAACGCCCTGTTTGACAGTTGGCACAAAGACTAACAGTTGGCACATTGAGGGTAATGTTTGTATATGTTTGGGAGTAGAATTTGTATGACAATCTAAGAAATTCGATTTAACTTTGCAATACTTTTTAGTATTCATCGATATTATTGTATGATTTTCTGTTTCTGTGTGTCTGTTTGATTTTAAAAAAAAATCATTTTTTCATTTTTTTTCGGGTCATTCTTAATTTTACGCAGTTCTAGTAGTAGTTTAGATTTTGTGTGCTTGCATGGGTTTGACAATTCTCCCAACCATGAAGATTTTTACTGGGCTATATGTGGACCATGAATGACGAAAACTGTGCATTATTAAATTGATCAATACGTGTTTATGTGAGACTTGATTTATTTTGCACACGACACTCATGTATGCATATTGGGTTAATGATTTGACTCATTACTTAGAAATAGTTGAACATAGAGAATATACCCGGAAAACCTCTTTTGTGCTAAACCATGGCCAATTTTTAGAAAAGTTTGGAGGTGATTGAACTGTTGCAAGGGAACATTGAGATGAATAGGGGTTCCGTGCATGATGTTATGTATGGATTTTCTAAATCCAATGAGAGGAAAATGAAGTGAAAGTTTCAAGTTAAGGGTATAGTTTTAGAAATTGGATGTCTAAAAGAAAATGAATATTGCACTAATCATTGAATAAACAAAGGCATCTGTTCGAGCCTGTATAAAAGCCTGCAAGGGTTTAAAACCAGGTGTCATATGGTCATCTGACTTGGGAGTCATTGGCCAAAGCTCACTACATGGGTTATATAAAAAGCAAATGAAAGATGTTATATAAAAAAGAAAAAAATGGTATCCATCTATTGATGAATTA